CGCCGCAATCCCTTCTCCTCCATTCTCCTCTCGGGATCTTGGGCACGCACGCACACGCGCCCGGCGTGAGTTTTAAGCCACCGGGTCTGGGACACGAACCACGGTCGACTATGTGGGAGTCCAGCGACATAGCCATTACGCTAACTGCTGGTTCCCACAACTTTTTCATCTTAAAAGTGAAATATTTCCAAATTGAATTTGTTAATCTCCTCTCTTGACTTGTCTTCTCTGTTTATTTCACCATTATCTTCTTTGCCCAAAGTCACCCTGTCATATGTATGAATACCCTAGTAACTGAAGTTTCTGCAGAATAGAGAATTTCTCTCTTGTAGACGAAAATAAATCACTCACATGGAGGAATTTTGAGGCTACTTGAAATTATATTAAGGCAAGTGCAATTATTTCTAAACTTTTTTGATGAAGAAATTTACTCCTCATAAATGTATAGATATGAAAGTGTTGTCATATAGAATAGAATAGTGATGATAAAAGGCAGACATAACACCAGAATGCCCAAAAATGGCATAGGCCAGATGCCTTAGGGCTCTGCCTCATTAATAAACATTACACACTTTTCTGTAGACCCTATCCTATGTTGACCTAGTCCACAACTGTTGCATGAACCAACTACATCTTGTCCTTCACAGCACTGTGTTACATCTAGAGACCGTCTGGCTGCATTCTGAGAGCCTGCCCGCTGCCACAGTGCTCACGGGCACTGTATAATTTAGATTTCCTGCTCCGATGGAGAGCCCAGGATTGGCCCAGCCAACGTGGTTCTATAGCCAGCCCAAACCAGCTGCCCAGAGAGCTGACTGAGTTTTCATTAACTGATGCCATGTTGCTTAACCTGAGATCAGTTATGATGAGACCTTGTGTTTGTTGCTGGTTTTCTGTGCTGGGTGATTTGTCAGCACATTGCTGGGCACCTCCACCTTAGTACCTTAGTACTACCCAACTGATGCTTTCACCACCACACCAGGTACCAGAAGAAAGAACTTTGCATCTCTCCGTAACAGGCCCCCTGCCCATGAATAGCTCCATAACTAACACTTGTCTACACTCTGGGTCTGACTCATCTACCCACTGAGTTCAGCCAGAATCCTCCAAGAGACTCACTCCAGGGCCAGGACCAACAACTCTTGCCAGTGTTAATTGTATTCATTTTATTTCTTATTTTTATTTATTTATTTTTGGAGGGAGAGGTTTTTGCTATAGGGCGCGTGCACTTGCCAGAAAGACAGAGACAGACAGAAAGCGAGAAATCACCCCCCCAGGGGGCATGGCCACACCACAATCCCTTCTCCTCCATTGTCCTCTCGGGATCCTAGGCACATACACACACATGCGCCTGGAGAGTTTAAACCACCAGGTCCGGGACTTGAACCACAGTCGGCTACATGGGAGTCCAGCGACATAGCCATTACGCCAACTGCTGGTCCCACTAGTATTAGTATATTCATAGCAGGTTTCTTCAACAGGCCTTTTACTCCCATGCCCCTTGGTCACTAAGGTAAAGGCAAGTGTCCCTCAGCTGTCTTCTTTCCAGTCTCATCTCAGCATCCCCAGAGCATCCTTGCCTTGACCAACACTGACTGGCTCACCTTGGGCTCTCCCACTGCTCCTCCCAACTCAGTAATCAAACTCGCCTGTGTCTCCACCCTTTTTAATACATGGTCCTTTTCTCCTACTGGTCTTGAAACCTGGCTAACCTGAAAATGATCTCAGCCTCCACAGCTGTGCACTGACCTCCAGCAGTCATGTTGCCTGGCTGTAAGATGGAGTAAAGAGAAGACTGCCTTAACCAGTTAGCCCTTTCCAAGTGGAAAAGAGCAAAGGGGCTCAAGGGGTTTGCAAAGGATGAGTAAATCAGGCTGAACCCTATCATATGGCTGAATGCAGAGGGAGGCGAAAACAAGAATGTGACGATGACCCATGAGAAGTGGTAGATCAATGGAGAGTGGAGTCAATGAGGTCAGGAAATCACTGGAATGGCAAATAGCGTCCTATAGCAAAAAGCTCTGCAAAAAATAAAAAAGAAGTACATAGTGATCTCCCAGGGTGCCTTAATTTGCATGTCCCTAACTACTAGTGATTTTTTTGGGGGGGAGAGGTTTTCGCTATAGGGCGTGTACGCTCGCCAGACAGACAGAGAGAGACAGAGAGACAGAAAGCGAGAAATCACCCCCCGGGGGAATGGTCACGCCACAATCCCTTCTCCTCCATTCTCTCAGGATCTTGGGCATGCACGCACACCCGCCCAGCGTGAGTTTTAAGCCACCTGGTCCGGGACGCCAACCGCGGTCGGCTACGTGGGAGTCCAGTGACATAGCCATTATGCTAACTGCTGGTTCCCACTACTAGTGATATTGAACATTCTTTTTAAATATGCTTTTCCCATCCACATGTCTTCTTTGGTAAAGTGTCTATTTAAAAGTTGGGCTCTTTTTTTTGAGAGAGATTTTTGCTCTCAAAAATAGGGGTGCATGTGCTCTCTGGAGAGACAGAGGCAAAAAGTGAGAAATCACCCCCCAGGGGGATGGCCACAACACAAACCCTTCTCCTCCAGTCTCCTCTCGGGATTTTGTGCACATATGCACACAAACCGGCATGAGTTTTAGGCTGCCAGGTCCAGGACTCAAACCGCAGTCAACTGCATGGGAGTCCAGCGACATAACCATTACGCCATCTGCTGGTCCCTTGGCCCATTTTTCAAATTAGGTTCTTTTTTTCCTTATTATTAAATTTAAGATGTGCTTTATATAGTCTGAATATAAGTCCAGAATATATGTACTAGGTGGGTGTTTTTGCAAATACTTTCTCCTAGTTTGTGGGTAATTTTTTATTTAATTTTAATTTCTGCATATCCCTTTTTAAAAATATCGATACCCAGACTCCTTTCACTGAGATTCTAATTCATCTGGATTAGCATGGCGCAGGGACTTGTTTTTTCAAGCTCCCCAGAGAATTCGAACGAGCAACCAAAGCTGAGAACTACCAGGTCAGAGGAACTAAACCCTACCTTCCGCTACGGCCAAGACCTGAAAGAAGGAGAAATACATATTGAAATAGCAACTGTTTATGGCAAATTTCTAAGATATTTTCTTGGGCCTATGGCATCGTCCTCCATGCTTTATAAACCAGCTTAGAACATAAAAACAATCCAGCTC